ATGATTCGGTGAAAATATCGCTGTTTGTTTGTACGATTGGAATTTGGAGCCTTCTGCTACAAGAAACTCCAGGCCGAATTGTCAAGCGGTGATATGGGAAATGCGAAGAGGAGTTTCGCATTTGTGTATGAATTAGGTTCGGAAATTTGCTACAATTTTGACTATGTTGTGACATTTTTACTTGTAATGCGATTCAGTGAGATCGGCTGCTGACCCATTGATACTTCCTGCACCAGCAACCGACCAAGTAATGCAAGTGAACTCGCATTCTCGAAATTAACTGTTACTCTCCTTCTTTGAAAGTCTTTTATTTTGTGATCTCTTTTGGGTTGTTGCTTAAGTAAACTTATTGACAATTTGAGCTTTACATCCGAAGTAGCTTGTCTAGGAAGCATTCTGCTAGAATCTGACTGCCTACTGGCATTCTCATTTACTTTTCGACAAAGTAATGGCATGCTAAGTCCTTTTTCTTCGCTTATCTTTTTGGCTCAGATCGCTAATAATGTGTTCGTTTACATATTTTCTTTTCATATTCTCTCACTTCTGTGAAGCAATCAGTTAGAACGTTTTGCGTCTCGAATAGGCTTACACGAATATGATTATTATATGAAATAACAACTTGACTGCTAATTCGGGTTTATCCTCAAAAATTCCGATATTCCTCGCCTCCTCCCTAACAATCACTAGTCATTCAACGTTTGTCAAGCGCGCCTCCTAGCTTCGTTTTCTTGATGGCATCAAGTCTGTGCTATTCGAGACGACCCTGCAAAATCTTGCTCATCAACTGACCACCCTGACGTACTCTGCACTCACGGAGGCGGCAATCGGCTCTGACGAGACCTGCGCCTTCAACGTGCGCCTTAGACTTTCCTACATCCATTCACTTAAGTCAAATGAAATCACAAAATTAGCATTTTTACTCTGAACACATCATCGTTGTCTTCTGGTGTCCTCTTATTGCTTTGGAAAAACAAACGCCCCCCCTTCCCCCACTACTGCTGCCACAGTTAACAACCTAATTCACTTTCTCTTCAATAGCATTTCTTATCAGGGTAGGGAACGCAGGACGCCATCCCCAAGGAGCGGTTAATTTATGAACAGTTTAATCACCAATACTCAAGAATGGCACTTTTCAGTGACCGTAATCAAGCTCCGTCTTTTTGTACGGCTAAAGCATTGAACTCGAGAGTCGGCCCCCTTGGAAACATTTCTTTGTCGCGATATACTGGTGAACCAATGCCATAGACTTCACATTTATACCCATCCAATCAGGTTTTCAAGAATATCGAATATCGTCAACGATTTTCCGTTTAAGGGGCGCATGTGGGCAAAATTGTCAGTCCCGTAAATCCCACACGCAAACTAGGTCAAGTAAAACGTGGCAGTGTAAGCAACGCGCTAAGCTTGGAAAAGCTAATTTCAATCCTTCCCCTGCAGGCTCGTGCGGGAATGTTAGAAGAGCAACAGCGCGTAAGCGAGAGTGATCTAGTGAAGGCGGCTGCCTCTACGATGGCAGCATTAGGAGGCGGTGACGACAATGCTACTGATACTTCGACTAAAGAAAACTCCTCTTCCACTAATGCAGCCCCATCAACAGAAGATAAGCCCTCCACGTCCATCCCAGCCTCTGCACTCCTATTGGGCGGCCTGGCTGGCGTGGACGAGGAAGACAATTACGACTGAACGGCTCGAAAGATGAAGATCGAAGAGCTGAACCATTCAATACACACGCTCGAATCGGTGCTTTTCATCATCTATATCTTGGTCGTTGCTGGGGCTGCGCAGTTTTTCAGTAACTTCAGCGCTGCACCCGGACCCATAACGACGGTTGCAAGCACCTTTATCCAAAACCCATTGTATATGCATGAAAGTGGTTCTTTTCTATTGATGTCTTATAGGACATCTTGGTATTAAACACTATTGTTATTGCTTCAATTTCTTGATAGATTTTCGGAGCAGTATTTGACAGCCTCAGCATCAAACGTATCGGAGTCTGTTGGGTGAATTCAGAGGCAATGTTCCTTCGTTGCTCACGCGCATGTCGTTTACGATCAAGAGGAACTGAGAGCTGGAGTTTGTTAAGGGAAAGATAGCAAGTAACGCCAGAAATAGCAGTCGATAAATCCATAAGTCAATTAATGTCTTAGGCCAAAGAAGTGTCACAAATACTCGACTACAAAGATTAACGT